TGTGTCAATGTTTTATTGAATGGTTTTCTTGGATACTAGTGTCTTTGAGTCTGTCTTCAGCAAAATGACTTCATCAGACTGTTCTCTCCTTCTATATATCACATGTAAAGAAGTTGTAGGAGTCCCATATACCAAACACAAGTTTAGGTGTTGGGAAATCATGATTAAAATAAAGAATAAATTCCCACATCCCAACATTTTTCTAGGTCACAAGTAGTGATTCTTCCTGATGACCCACACTGGGAAACCTCAACTAGCAGATCCACTTTAGAAATAACTTGCTATGGGACAAAACAAATTTTTACTTTACCTTTCTCTGGGCTGAAGCAATAGCACAGCAGGTAGGGCGTTTGCCTTGCATGCAGCCAGCATGGCCGACCCAGGTTCGATTCCTCCACCCCTCTTGGAGAGCTTGACAAGCTACCAAGAGTATCTCGCCCACACAGCAAAGCCTGGCAAGCTACCCGTGATGTATTCAATGTGCCAAACACAGTAACAACAAGTTTCACAATGGAGACATTACTGGGCCCGCTCTAGCAAATCGATGAACAACAGGACAGTGACCGTGACCATTCACTGAATTTTCCTCAATACTCTGTTTTGTTTAAATGTAAAACTTAACCAGATTAAGTCAATACATTAAGAAAGTTTTGTTTCTATACACATTTTTAAATGGCATACTTTGAATAGGACAGTTGATGTTATTTGCTTTCTGCTTCAGCAGGCTGGATTTTTATTTTAGAGTACCAGTTGGAAAGGTTGTTCTTATAATAGGATTATGTCACGCTCAAGACCAAAGCAAAAGCAAGTAATTTCTTTTGCGATTCGAAAAGATTTCAGAGCAGTTAATGCTTAAAAAGAAGAACGTAGTTTGCCAGACAGAAAACAGAAAATAGCAGGATACACATTCTAAGAACAGGGACCAAGGAAAGTATTCAGTGGCTTGAAGCGTTCTTGCAATAATGGGCATGCATCATTTCTCCCTTGTCATTGCTGTTTCTCTGTACTCCCAGGCCCCATTGGCAAGGGTTTTGTGTTCTTGCTGATGTTGTACCTAAGCAGCCCAGAAGAGTCCTGCAGACCTCGAATTGCGCGCCCCGGGGAGGATCCAAGGGAAATGCACAGATGGGACCCGAAAGGCCCCACACATTCCCTGTGGTGTTCACAAAGGGACAAAGGCCTCTGAGACAGAAACTCTGGGTGTGTAGATATCAGGGTGGAAACAACAGGACTCAGAAAGGGAAAGAATTTCTGTCTGGCCCATTGTGTCCTGCCGGAGGAGTTGGCACGGACTGAGAAGGCAGGGTCTGTAGTCAGGACCACCAGGGGAGGCCGATTCTGTTGGAGTTTCTCTCAGCTGCCTTCACTTGGCTCTCTACTTGTAAGAGTCCTGGCGGTGATGTTGCCCAGGAAAGGGCCTTGATCTCTGGCGGGCTCTTGGCTCTCTCAATCTCTTCCGGGCACGCAGTCCTGTCCATTCATTATCTCCAGGTAGAGTCTGGCCTTTGCGCTGAGCGAGAGGCAACACGGCTCCTTTCTGAACGATCTTTCTCTCTTCAATTGTTCCTTAGCTTATGGCTTCCTGAAATTAACTAAACATTAATTAATTAAATGTTTCCCACCTGAATGCCCCCTTTGTGAGCAAAGAATTGGAACAGATATTTCTGTAAATAAGATATACAAATTCATATAAAAAAAGATGTACAACCCCCTTAGTAAGGAACAACACGTGAATGCTGCAGTGAGAGAGGGCTAAACACTCACTAATAATATGGAAAATAGGGTTTAAAACCGTAAGATAACAAGTGCCAATAAAAATATGGGCAAATTGAGCACTCTTTACAATAGCCAGAATCTGGAAAAAACCTGAGTGCCCGAGAACAGATGACTGGTTAAAGAAACTTTGGTAAATCTACACAAGGGAATACTATGTAGCTGTTAGAAAAGACGAAGTCACGAAATTTACATACAAGTGGTACTACATGGAAAGTATTATGTTAAGCAAAATGACTCAGAAAGAAAGGAATAGATATAGAAAGATTGCATTCATCTGGGGAACATAAAGTAACAAAATAGGAGACTAACACCCAAGAATGGCCGAGATTAGTACCAGGAATTTCACTCCATGACTTGGAGACCAACCACATATACTAGGGGAAAAGGGAGCTCAGATAAAGAGGGGAACACCAAATAAAGGTGTTGGGAGGATCCTCCCGGGATGGGAGAAGCCTGCTGAAAGTAGACTATAGACCAAACATGATTGCCACTCAATGTTTCTTTTGCAAACCACAACACCCAAAAGGAGAGAGAGAACAGAGGGGAATGCCCTGCCACAGAGACAGGGTGGGATGGGGGGGAATTGGGGGTGGGAGGGATACTGGGATCCGTGGTGGTGGGAAATGGACACTGGTGGAGGGATGGGTATTTGATCATTGTATGATTGAAACCCAAGCACAAAAATGTGTAAGTCTGCAACTGTACCTCATGATGTCTCACTATTAAAATTTTTTTTAATAAAAAAATGGGCAAATTGTAGTTCTACTGATATGCATGTAAGAATGTAAATGTTTCTGCACTATGAAGACAAATTGGGAATTCCTCAAAAAGTTTAACAGAATTTCTACAAGATATCACAATTCTGCTTCTAGATATTAAAAAAAAAACAGGAAATACGTTATTGCAAACAGGTACTCAAAGAACTGTTCATGTATGTATGTTCATGATAGTATTAACAAGAACAAAAGGTACAGAAAGTCCCCAAATCCCTTGACAAATGGGAAAACAAACTGTATGTGCACACAGTGACTCATTTTCGGCCATGCAGCAGTAATGAGGCACTGACGCTTTGTGATGTGGATGAACCCAGAACTTGGGAGTTAGTTGAAAGAAGCCAAATGCTAATGATGACAGATTATGTGATAGTCTGCGCATGTGCAGAGACTTAAGAGTTAAGTTTCTAGAGACCACAGATATTGGTAATTGCCGGGACTGGGGAGCGGGAGAAAAGGAAGACAGTGCTTAATACTTTTTAAAGCTCATTAGGATTTTTACTTTGTTAGCAAGAGAAACATTTTGTGACCACACATAGTAATGGTACAGCTTTGTGAATTCAGTCTCACCAAATTCTTCATTTTTATAATGTTTGAACTTTTGTAAATTACACTTCTATAAACAAAATGAAAAGCCAGGAATATCAAAATGATGGGAAAATATACTGCTAGAATTGCATAATAAATGAGTATATTCATGTAAATGTTCATCATTACAGTAATTGATATAGACTACGACAAGTGATTGCCTGAATTTCGCCGTATAATCATCAAGGATTTTATGCCAATTGAAACATTGGGATGTGGGGACCAGAGTGACAGTATAGTGGATGGGGCACTTGCCTTGCATGCAGCTGACCTGAGTTCAATCCCTACCACCACATTTGGTCCCTTGAGCACTTTCTGGAGTAATTCCTGAGTGCAGATCCAGGAGTTAACCCCTGAATTCTGCTGGGTGAGGCCCAAAAACAAAAAGAAATAAGTGGGGTATGACCATTCCATGAAACATTTTTTATAGTTTAGGTGACATGGTTACAACAGTGTTAAAGATTATTGTATTTTGTACAAAGTTACTACACCCCACTACCACCAATGTGCTAAAAATCCCCTGTCACTGTCCCTTTGTCACCTCTGATCTAATCTTGATATGCCCTCACTGGTTGGTAGTATATAAAAATGGTCAAGGGTCTGTCATTGATGGAGTACTATGCAGCTGTTAGAAAAGATGAAGTCATGAAATTTATATACACGTGGTACTACATGGAAAGTATCATGCTAAGTGAAAGGAGTCAGAAAGAGAGAGACACACATAGAAAGATTACATTCATTTGGGGAACATAAAGTACAAAATAGGAGACTAACACCCAGGAACAGCTGAGATAAGTACCAGGAGGATTACTCCATGGCTTTGAGGCGAGCCACACACGCTAGGGGAAAAGGTAGCTCAGATAGAGAAGGGAGCACCAAATAAAGGGTGTTGGGAGATGCATGATGAGAGTAGACTATAGGCCGAACATGATTGCCACTCAGTGTCTCTTTTGCAAACCACAGCACTCAAAAGGAAAGAGATAACAAAAGGGAATGCCCTGCCACAGAGGCAGGGTGGGATGGGGGAGATGGGGTGTGGAAGGGATACTGGGATTGGTGGTGGTGGAGAATGGGCACTGGTAGAGGGATGGGTATTCGATCATTGTATAACTGAAACCAAAGCACAAAAATTTGTAACTCTACAACTGTACTTCATGGTGTTTCACTAATAAAATTTTTTTTAAAAAGGGGTTTGTCATTGTTCTACATGATCAAGTTCCTTATTTTATCTCTCTCTATTCCACAGATGAGTGAGATTATCCAGTATTTGTCCTTTTCTCTCTGATTTATTTCACTTAACATAATACCCCCCAGTTCCAATTATACTGAAGCAAAGTGCATTGTTTCATATTTTCTTATAGCTATAGCATTGCATTGTGTCTATCTACCACAACTTATTTATCCATCCCTTTGTCATTGAATATTTGGGTTGATGTGAGACTGTTTTAATTGTGACAATATTAAAAACTGTGAAACACGATGGCCACTCAATACCTCAATTGCAAACCACAACATCCTAAAGGAAAGAGAGAGCAAAAGGGAATGCCCTGCCACAGACACAGGACAGGATGGGGGTGGGGGGAAGGGCTACTGGGATCATTGGTGGTAGAGAATGACCACTGGTGGATAGATGGGTACTCGATCATTGTATAACTGAAACCCAAGCACGAAAGTTTGTAAGTCTAAAACTGTACCTCATGGTGTTTCACTAATTAAAAAAAAAACAACTGTGAAACAGTTATGCAGTGGCAATGATTATTTGGTAAAATACAGTCGTTTCCAAATGACCAGTAATATATGTCATGTTCAGCTTAAATTTTGAAAGTCAAAACAAGAAAATTAATTGATTTTTTTATTTTTTAGGATTCTCAGCTTGTTTCCTCTGGACACAATAATCCAAGTAAGAATTTTTCTCTATAATTTCATCAAGGTGATGGTGGGGCAAAGATGAATATATGCAGTAGACCATAGGTTAAATATTTACATTAAAAACAAAATCAGATGGGGCAAAAAAGAGAGTACCCAAATGCATAACTTTTATAATGACATTAAGTATTTCTCTATCTTATTCAGGGGAAGGAGACACAAATATAAGATGCTAAATTTCAAGTCATTGTAAGAGGAAAGAACAGCTTGTTTTATTATGGTGTTACTCCTGCCCTAGATAAGAGAAAATGTAAACTCAGTTAATGGGCTATTGAAAGAAAATTTGTCTGTCTGAAAAGAACACGAATTAAAAGGTTTCAAGAAAATGGCCTTATAAGAAAACCATGACCTCTTCCGTATAGGCAAACTATAACATTTAGAAAGGCTGAGATTTGTTATTAGACCCATGACTGACTAAAAAAAAGAAGAAATAAAGAATGGGCACTGTCATTCAGAATAGGAAATTATCATTGTGTGAAGTGGAATTTCTATTCTCTTTTTTTTGAACACTACTAATTGGTAGTGATGTTTTGTTGAATGTTTAAAATGTGCGAGTTACCCTAGTCATATTCTGAAAGCACACCCACCAGGACTGGGCTTTGTTCATCTGTTGACTAGTCAGTCAGCTGAGAATACTGAGCTGAGAGTTGCCAATTACAAAGCTAAATTTAACATGAAAATCATTCTAAGCTAGCTAGCGTTGTGTTTTTGGACCTGAGGATCAGCCATTGAACATCTGTGAGGACAGAAGGGCTGAAGGAAAAAACACATCCAGACAAATGTGTTAGAAGCCCAGACTTGTAATACACAGCTAGAGACAGGTCAGGGAGAGGGATGTTAACTTAACGATGCATCCGCAGTGTTGCTTACTTATCCCACTCTCTGTGGAGATTTGCTGAGAGAACAGACACCAGGAAAGAGATGAGATTCCGAGGTATTTGAATGGTAAAGAAAATAACAAGTTCGATAGCAAAGAAAATACCGAAAAAGATTAGGCGAGATGCATGATTAAGTCCATGAGATGTGCAGACATCAGCATTCAGCATTAGATTCCAAGATCAGCACATGCTGAGGAGTTTCCATTCGATATAAACAGTTCAGGCTAAAGAAGGCTCTAATAGGTGAATAAATGGACCTTCCTCTACTTGGAGATTTTGACATACAGAAGAACAAGGAATAAGTGTGGAGTCTCCTTTGTGTCAGCACCTTTATGTATGTTATTCCACTTATGCCTAATGCTGGCTCTCTGAGGTAGGAATTATCATCTCTACTTTGCACATGATAAACTTGAAGTTCTGAGGTTAATAACTAGGAAGTGTCGTGTGAATAAAAAGGGATGACAGCTATGATTTAAACCCCATGATCTCTATCCCACTACCTGGACCTCAAGGTTGAATTTATTACTTCACTCTAAGATTGAATTCTTGCCCAAAAACTGCATGCTGTTTTTTTATATTTTTATACACACCTGGCATATTTTAATGACATGCCATAATCCATACATACTTATGCTATAATCTAGAAGTATGTAAAAGCAGATCCATTCTCATGAGGGGTCAACATGAGGGACCATCTGCTTTGTGTGCATTTGAAAGCCAAGTATGTCTCTAACAGACAATATCACTGCCTTAAACTCTGGAGGGCATGATTGTATTTTTAGGAGAATTTGTCACAACATATCTTTGGTATAAATAAAACCACTACTATGGAACTAAAATAATGGAAATAAAACCATGAAAGCTTTGATAACAAAACAGGGTGCCACAAAAAATAATCAAAAATTAAAAAAAAAAACAGAATCTCAGTTTCTTGCAGTAAAAGTAGAGAAGATCAAAATCTTAATGACACAGGAAAAAGAGAATTGAAAAAGAAAAAAACGTCAGGAGAGTCCCGAGGGGCAGGGGCAGGAGCAACCCCAGAGGAAGCCTGCACCTCATCTTGGAAGAGGCATGGATTGTGGGCACCACAGGAAAACGTAGGAAGTTCTCCCACTGTTACCGCTCCACCTCCATCCATGCTGGTTCTCAGGAAGAGTATTTGGTAGCGATTTGCTCCCAAAGACCAAAAAATGTTGCACTGTTTGCTAAAGATAAAATGAACATTTGTTATTCTATTGGGGCAAAAGTCTGACACTTCTGTGGTAGTTGGAGGCGCAGTAAATCAGCACACCAATCCATATAGTAACACTCTCAGAACCATGTTACCTCAGCGACAAAAGAGAAGGAAGGGGGCAGGCAAAGCAAAGGGGAGAAAAAGAGGAGAAGAAAGAAGGGAGGGAAAAGAGAGGTGGGACAGAGCTCACTGGAGCTCTTAGCTGAGAACTGATACCTGAATAGAAACAAGAGTTTCCAAGAAATAATTCTGAACTTTCAAAATGGGTATTTTTTGAAGGACGTTGAGTTTTCCTCAAGAAACAAATAAAAATGGTGCACACCCAGAATAAAGCTCTTCCTATCTTTGGGACAGGAGATGCCAGGCATCTCAACATACTCCAAGCCCTAAATGAAACAACTCCATCCACACGCTTTGTGCATCTTCCAAGAACCCTACACCTGCGCTTCCTTAGAAGAAAGAAGTGCTAGGACAGTAGCTGGTCTACTGATACAGGAAATCCACATGCGACGTTTGTAACAAACCTGCCATCTTAAAAAATATAAACAAATACCCAGTGAGCACCAAAAAAGACTATTCCAGAGGAAATTTAATGTATTCACAGAGTAGAAGGAAAAGTTTTCAAGTGTGATAATCTTCAGGAATATTTGAAATTAGTGGTATTAAAGAAGTACTGTAGCACTGTCGCACTGTCCTCCCGTTGTTCATCAATTTGCTCAAGCGGGCCCAGTAACGTCTCCATTGTGAGACTTGTTGTTACTGTGTTTGACATATCGAATTGGTCACGGGTTCCTTGCCAGGTTTTGCCGTTTGAATGTGATATTCTCGATAGCTTTCCAGGCTCTCAAGAGGGGTGGAGGAATCTTCCCCGGGTCAGCTGCATGCAAGGCGAATGCCCTACCGCTGTGCTGTCGCTGCAGCCCTGGTACTAAAGAAAAAGAGAATAAATTTACTGGGGGGAAATTTACAAAGAAAATGTGTATTTGAGAACTAAAAACATGGTCAATAATATTTTCAAGTGTGATCGAAACAGCAGATTAGAATTAATGCCTAGGGGTTCTGAGGAGATGCGTGCAGTGCTTTGTGTACAGAGGTTTGAGGTAGATGACAGGCAGCTCTGCATGACCAAGCCCAAGATCTGAAGCTTAAAGCCCACAAAGCCAGATTAAGTGCTGCTGGGGGCACCCACCAAGTTCCTCAAGCAACAAGGAAAAGGGAGTTAATTCTGAGATCTGGAATAAAAGATTAAAAACATTTTTTTCTAAACATAAAGCAAAATGACAGAAAATATGGAAGGAAATTAAGATAAATGAGCAATTAATCAGAGTTGAAAGGTCAGAACCCCAGCTAATGGGAATTCCAGACAAAGGTAACCAAGCAAATGGAGAAGACTAAGAGGAGGAGAATTCTGCCTCCAGGTCAAGGTCCAGAGCCCCGCTTTGTTCCATGGCACACAGGGAACCCCCCAGCAGCATCAGAAATAATTGCATTTGACAGAACTGTTTGAGTGTGTACACACCAGGCGAATGAGGAGACTGTCAGTCTTTCTCCATCTATTGTTATCTGGATGCTTTCTGCAGCTCATCTTCAAGCTCACTGATTCTATCTTCGGCTGTTGTCATTCTACTGTTGAGAGCCCCCACTGAGGTTTTTTTTTTATTTCATCTACCAAATTCTTTATTAGTGGCACTTCTGTTTGTAGCTTCTATTTCTGTTCTCATTTCTTCGTGTCTTTTATTGTCTGTCTGTACCACTTTTTTTTTAGCTCATTAAACACCCAAACCATGTGACTTTCGAATTCTTTAGCAGAGAGATTATGTAGTTGGGTATTCCCTGTTGAGGCTTCAGGGCCTTGTCCTCATCCCCCCACCCTGCCCACAGGAGCCGGGAAGCTTGTCCTTATCCCCCAACCCTGTCCACAGGAGGTGGGAAGCGACGCCTCCCCTCAAGAGCTGTAGCTCTTTTGCTTGAACATGCTCCCAGCACCTGCAGTTGGTTTTCCGTTGTTTTTAATTTATTTTTCTTCAAATCTGGCTGAGGTGGATTATACTGTGTAGAGAAGAGTAAGTAAGGAAAGTGGAAAAACAAGAACAATTTTCCAAATGAAACAACCAGATAGTCTTAGGAAAGAACTTAAGTGAAATAATCATGAATGATTTATCTGCCAAAGTGTTCAAAATAGTGATCATAAGTTATGTGGATGGCTCAAAGTATCTTCAAATCAAAGTATTTGATATCATGCTTTTAAAACGAGTAACATATCATGTGATCGTCTCAATAGATAGAAAAATATGGCAGAGTTCAACTTCAGTTTGTAATAAAAAATGAATAAAATGGATATGTATGTAGCATCCTCAGTATAGCTGAAGCTTTGTTTGACAAGCCCATAGCTCAGAGTAAACTTGATGGTGGAAAGCTGAAACCTTTTCCTCTAAGTGCACAAACAAGAATGCCCACACTTGCCACCTTTATTCATCATGGAAGACCCAGCCAGAACAATTAAGGAAAAGAATAAAAGGCTCCAAATTGGAAAGAAAGTAATGAAACTGTCACAACATGTAGGTTTTACTGTACAGGGAATTTATATACACACAAATTTAAAAAATCAGAATTCCTAAATGAATCCAGCACAATTACAGGGTACAAAATCAGTATATTAAAATATGCTGCACTTCTATACAAAAATCTAGATCAGAAATAAATATGAAAAGAATTCAGCTTACAGTTGCACCAAAAAGAATAAAATCCTTAGCAGTTAAACAATGAAATAAAAGATGTACCTACATAAAAACTCTAAGACACTTTGGGAAAAAATTTTAAAGTATTAATATTTTTAAATTTTTTATACTATGAAAAATGAGC